GTCTATGTGAGAATCGCGGAGACTAATGTATGATTATTTCATTTCATTTTGATTTCCAGAAAGTGTTCGTTCAACAATATGATAGCCTATGACTCTATTTTACCTTTGCTTATAAAAAAAGGTCTAAATCAGTTCATAATTTCATATGTGTTGTTTAAAAAAATAATATCATATGTGTTTTCAGTATTAGTTTGGTTTGTCTCAAATGTGACAACAATTAGAAAATGGTGTAAATTTGGTTTAAATTTTAAATCCTTTTGTATGTGCAAGCATCATTTCCTATTCTTCCTCGCGCTTATGACATTTATGGTCCATTCTAATGGTGAATCATTCTTTCAGTGTGTTTGCATGACTGTCAGACAGGATGAATAAAATACCTGATTCTCCCACCATTTTCATCGTTGTTGCCGAGACCCATTGCTAGGGTTGCTAGGTGCAAAAATGTGAATGATGTTGTATGAAAATAAGAATATCATCGGGTATTTGTGGGCATGAAAAACTTTAGGTGTTTGAATATTGACCGACAGGCCATTACCTTCACCTTCACTAGAGGGAAGCAAACATGGAAATGCTTCTACTCCCTAGAACTTTGAGAAACAAGGCTTCATTAGTAGAGGCGTAGAGCAGCAGGATGGGCCATTGACTACAATCGATCCCAAGAAATGGGTTACGATACTTTATAAATACTACTATATTTGGGTAAAATGATGAACAGACTTTCACCTTTTTATATCAGAAACTTAGTTAATGCTTAATCAAGATGTGACAACACATTTACTAACTTTAGGTTTGGTGGCAGCTAGGCATCGGTCGACTGGCCCAAATTTGCGGCGCTGCAGTTGCCGGGTCATCCGATTTACGCACTACCGTTTGATCTGGACGCTAATAGCCATTCGATTTAAGTTTTTCTTCCGCCCCTACATGAAGCCTCGTTGCAGCTCGCCATGGGTGATTCGTGGAGGGACGGGACTCCCTTGCACCATAGCTCTGTCCCCTTGCAACACCATCGGCTACCTCGGAGCATCATGTCGACATCATTGAACCGTCCCTGGTGGTCGCCGTCAATCTCTCCTAGCTTGTAGCATGGTGTCACCATGTTGCAGCTTGCCATCAGCCGCAGAGCCGGTTCGAGGAAGGAACAATGTCGACCATGGCACACCGAGGGGCATTTGACTCCGATGGCTCGCCGAGGACCCTCATGTTGTCGCAGTTTCCCAAATTGCCTGTCTAGCAAATTTTGCCGTTGATTCTAGCAAATTGCTTTGCTGGTTATAGCATTCACATTGCGGGGTCTGCCTATGCAACAAAATCAAGCATCGGTCCTAGCAAAACTCGCCAATGGTTCCAGCAAATAACGTCATCGGCTGTAGCATCAACATCGCAAGCATCTACGTCACGTGGTCTGCCTACACAACAAACATGAGCACATGTTCCAGCAAAACTTAACAGCGGTTGAATCTTGTCGACGGCCTGTTTCAACATCTCACCGGTTTCGCCAGGACCTCACCTCCACGCATTGCAGCTTCGACAGGTGCTGGTCGCAGGTTCCGAAGGAGTCGAATGCAATTTTTCCACGGCTTTTTGCAGCACATGTGACTATCCTCCACCTGAGGGGGGCCATGGGGATTTGCAGGAGATGCATGCGGGAGTTCCCTGGCGTGGTAAAGGAGAGGGCGCCATGGGATTAGCGAGTGATAGAGAAAGGATGAGGGAGGTCGTCGGCCTATTCATGAGAGGGAGTCATGGGGGATTTGGGGATATCGATGTTGAAGGGATGGCCTCAACCATGATAATGAGAAAGACAATGGATACAAGGGGATCCACATCGAGGAAGAAGATAAGGAGGAACAGGGTTAACCGGTGTGCGGGTCCCATGGCCCATGGACCAGCGGAGGACGTGTGGTCTATTGGATCAAGCCAGATCCAACGACCAACCTGCGATCGACGCGGAGCTTCAGCCGGATAGCATCATTTATTTAAGTTTTTTATCAACTCCTTTGAGTTATACGTACATACTTATCACTCTTTTAGGTCAACGAGGAAGTATGGTGCAAGGAGAGAAGGCGCCGTGGCCAAGGTGAGGTGGACGTCATCCGGTTTTAGAGAAGACTTCAGTGAGAAATGCCCCAATATGGCATGAAATCGAGCAGGAAGGTAAGGGTTCCGCAGGAAAACGGAAGGGTGCGTCCTGGGGTGGGGTTTTTGTATTGGGATTGTGTGTGGGTGATAACACGAGGGATAGTTCAGACAACCATATTTCTCCCCCACATATGGGCTTGATTTGGGGAGCTCGGACTGTCCAAACGGTTGAATTTTGAGGAGCCTACTGGACGCCCGTTTGAATGTAGGGGCGAGCCCGGACGTACGAGGGAAAAATGAGCTTCGACCTTGAAGACGGCCTTAATTATTTGTTTGATTTATTTATATGCATTGTAGCCCGTAGCAACGCACGGGCATTCTACTAGTTTTTTTTAATAATCAGATTGTTTGTCTTGTTTCTTTATCATCGTGACACCCAGCCTCAGAACCACCCCTTATGAAGTCGCATCTGATTAGGCGAGTAATTTGAGGAAATGCCGTACTTTTTCTGGGACTTTACTCTTACTAGTTGACCCGTTGCGCCAAATGGCGCAGAGACCCGCTAAAGACATGTTATCGATGAAAATAGTTTCATTTTGTAAAAACATATTCAATACTGATGTGTTAGACCATGCTATATTGACAATATGTTTATCATCCCAAAAAATCTGAGTGTGAAAAACAAACCATATTTGTATAACATGTGTAGGCAGTTAAGGAAGCTTTTTTTAGCTGAAAATATGGTTATCGCGCTGACAAATCTGAGTTTGAAAAGAAAATTTTATATAAGAACATTAAATGGCAGAATGACCCAGTGGCAACATGTAGTGCTAAATGTTAACTACAAATCCGTGGGTTATTCGTTTGGGCATCTTTCTCGTTTTTCTAAATTTTGAAATTACAATATACTGGTATGCTTTCCTCTGCCTCATCAATCCCCACAATCGAGATGTGCGGAGGCAGCTCTATGCATGAGCAGGGCTTTCAAGTGGCGCGCTCTCTGGATGACCCATTGTGCCAAATGGCGCAAAGGCCCATTTAAAACCATGAACACTTCAAAAATATTTGCATTTGTTAATAACTATACGCTTGAGCAATCACATAGGACAAAAATTGTAACTACTTTTATAAAAAAGAATAGACTTGTCTTTCAAAATATATACTTGAGCATGCATAATTTGTTATGTTATTCAGGAACACAGAGGCATAAGTTTAAAAAAAATTCAAACAAAGAATGAAATGTAAATAGTTGCTTAATGTAATTATGCAACAAATTAGAACATCGGTGGGTCAAATAACTGAGCCTGCAATTAGAAAGTCCAAATAGCTTACGCTAAAAAGAAGGTAAACATAGGCGACACGGTAAAAAAGAAGGTAAACATAGGTGACACAATAAAGCCAGGTTTGATGAACTCCATTGCACACTTTGTGGTGTTTGATGAATAAAGCTACCCCTCAAAAAAAAGTGACACAATAAAATGTACTTAATACACGATGAACATTTCTTAGAAATAGTGGTCAATTACATCATATAATTTGGTTCTGTACAAAAGAAAGTTTCCTCTTTTGTGTATATATATCCTAAATACCACCCCTTGCGATGAACTATCTGTCTTTGTCCACAAATTTGGTTATTCACCATCCAGCATGTCAGTTGCAGTCTCCTGAAGCATAGGAACAACATAAGTTAAAACAATGTAGTCAAACATACACTAAAAATATACTCACGGGCATTATCGACAGATTAAACCAAAGTTATAGTGCACCTGTTCTCTATAAAGAATTAACCTGAGAAGGTCATTCTTCAAGCTGACTCCTAGGTCCTAGCAGAAGATGATGCATCTAAGCGAAGCTGCCTGGAGATTTCTTATATGTCCCTTGCTCTCTACTGCAACAAATAGTTGGAATGGCATATAAGATAAGTGTGAGGTACTGACAGAAGCTCACTCTCAAAAGGCACATTCAGTATGTATATGTAATGATATAGATGCGTTATTAATTAAGTAACCTGAATAAGTTGTTGCATATTTCTTTTAGGGACAACTGTTTACATATTTCTTCTATATCCATTGCTCTCTGATGTAACGATTAAAATGGCAAACAAAGTAATTCTTAGGCATTGATATTACTGACTTACTTGTTCACAGGCGTATACTGAAACCGAGAGCATAAAGGTAATATGTTATAGCATATATTTGTACTGTAAGTAACAAAAGAGTAGTCTCTTTCCTTTTTCCACATAACAGTCTACTTATTTGATGCACTTGGACTAACAGGAACATAAGAAAACACCAATGACTAATCATTTGGAAGGCAGCATGGCTGAGTCCTACACATGGCTAGTTAAGCCCTCTTGCCAAGCTGGAAAGTTTCTTACAAATGCGGAAATATCCATAAGATTGCATCTCTCTTGTTCTACTGAAATAATATTTTGCATATATTAGAGGTTTCAAAAGCTAGGTACCAGTTAACTCCTATTGTGTTTGTTTGTATATATATCATTGGTCTGTTTTATTCTAGAGCCTTACTAACCAAATAAAGATCAAAATTTTGAAGTAAATTCTATGCCTAGAAACCAAATAAGAACTACACTGAAAATATTTATGAATTACTACAACTATTCAGACCATTTTAGACTACTTTAGTATGAGACTGTAATCAAGAATAATGAATGTAGGTGATCTGATATCTTGTTCGAACAATAAAATAAATAAGGACAGACAGGCAATGGATTTGACCAACAAAACCAAATACTTCTAGATCTGTCCGAACTTCTAAAGAATTGATCAATCTTAAAAGTTGGAAAGGCTAAGCAGATAGAGTAATGATATGTTACACGAATAAGCAAGCATGTCCGCTGACCATAGATAGTAGCTGATTAGCGATGATGCACTCAATGCGAAGCGGTGTTTCCATGCCTATCAGGATAAAGGTATTCTTTTCTCCAAGGGTAAACATGGAAGTGGAGTGATCAAGCACACCGAAAAGAGTTTTCATGAATTAAAAATAATATGGAAATAAGTGTTTTGAAACATAGAATTTTGGAGCTGCACAAAAGATGCAGCTGAAGAGGAGGACACCCCTAAATGAAAACATCGAGTTAAAAAATTAAGCTAGCAAACCAGTCTGACCTATTATATATTACACATGGACAGTAGCACCTACATATTGAAGCAACAAAATTGACCCAAAAAATCCCCATATATGAACATCACAATCTGTGGGCATTAACTAAACACAAATTAAGCATAGATGTGTCGGGTAGAAGCTAATATTATAGGATAGGTGACCTACAGTGAAACACATGATATAACACAAAGTTAAAGTATGCTTAGCAGAGGAATTCAGCAACAACACATGGGAACAGATCTGGGCTGTACCTATAGGTAATTAATCTCTGCATAGATGGCGCAGAGTAGTAACTGCCTTGATTTCTTTGCTGTCCCAGCCCCCTTTCCAGTAGCACAGCTCCCTTTTAGAAATTATTGTGGTCAGAAATGAACAATCGCTATGTCTATCTAGGCTTAAAGAACGCATAGGTAGACAGACAGTATAAGAATTGACACCTTTTTTTGGTCATCTACCCCTGGTCATCCTTATCATTCTTTCCATCAATAGAAGATGAAAGAGCTTCAGCCTTATCATCAGACTTCTCCTGGTGCACCTAGAAAACCAAGTAGTTTGGTATCGGAGCAAGATGAGATATTAATATCCAAAGGTAAATAAATTGGCTCGGACAGGTTTCAGCTCACTCAATCAGTTAGACAGCTTCGAATGGAATTTCTTTATGGCCATCTATATATTTGTATCTCCGTAACATGCGACACTAAGTTTTCTTCCTCATGTGAGATAAGCATTTGATTGTACAATTGTGCAGTTGAGCAAGGCATGAGAGAAAGCTATATCAACACAGCAGCTGTAAGTTTTCTTCCTCATGTGAGATAAGCATTTGACTGTACAATTGCGCAATCAAGCAAGGCATGAGAGAAAGCTATATTAACACAACAGTTATCTTTTGGTGTACAATCGAGTTGCTTTCATATGAGATCTAAAACATGTGCATTCACACGTGCTTATATGAGTAGTAGAAAAGAAGCTTTGCCTAAGAAGAAGGACCCAATAATCATTTTTTTTGGAAAGGCATGAAGAGAAAACATTATATTTAGGAGGAGCACAAAAATACAGAGAAGACGGAGAGAAAGCCCAAGAAGCAAAATCCAAGAAACATCCTTTCAAAAGCCCAGGAAGAATCACCAGGCCAGAAAACACAAGACCCTACAAATCCCATGGAAAGCATTTTTTCCTGATAGGAGAAGGCAGCCCAAAAGGAAACCTCAGAAGAAAGACTAAGAAACAAGTTTTTGAAAAGGAATGACAAGAAAAAGACGTAAACAAAAGGGGAGGCAACCTAGCTGGGAAACAAAAAATCCAGAGAACACAAAGAGCAAGCCCAAGAAGCAAAACCCAAGACACATCTTTCAAAAAGCCCATGAAGAATTATAAGCCCAAAAAACACAAAGCCCTGTAAACCCCATGTAAAATAAATCTGTAATAAAAGAGAGGAGGGGCCCAAAGGCCCAACAGAAGGAGCACCAATAAATAAGCAAGACATCAATTATTTGGGCCCGCGTGGGAACATTGAAGAAGAAGCTCAAAGAGGCACTATAAGCAGTACCAAGAATCTTGTTGTGTAAGCAAGAGGCATTTTTTTCTCCAGCCCCCCCAAGGAGCAGGAAACAAGAGGGGTGATCAATGGATTATGAAGAATCAAATTAGAAAGGGCCATTTCTACTTTGTAAAACATAGAAAGAAGACACAGCAAGCCCACAGGGCAGACATATGAAGAATAAAAATGTCTAGAGACTTTATTGCAATAGAGGAATTAATCCAAGAAGTACAAAGCTGGCACACAGGCATGAATAAACAGTCAATAGAAGAGAGCTAAAGAAAACGGAGAGAGGACAGCAGATGCGAGTATAGTAGAGTCCAGCAGATGCGAGTATGGTGTGTTTAGATGCCGTTAATTACCCAAATGCTAAAAAGTGCAGCTGACGTTTTGAGCACATACCCTCGCTGGCCGTCCGATCTCCTCGCGTGCGAGATCACGACGCGCAGGTGAATTTTTGTCGGAACCCACGACGCGAACCCTTCGCACGATCGCCCCGTCCACCAACAAATGGCCACTGCTAGGCGTCATCCGGCTGACGTGAGACAATCGTAAACCGCCTCCTGAGCCATTGGATGAGGCCATGCGCAGCGTCCACCAACAAATGGCCACTGCTAGGCGTCATCCGGCTGACGTGAGACAATCGTAAACCGCCTCCTGAGCCATTGGATGAGGCCATGCGCAGCCGTCCGATATGTGCCAGTTGGACCACGAGCGCAACCCAGCAGAAATTGACTCCGTCGTCTCTTGAGTGCAGCACTCCTCCATCGCTCTTCGTCATCCCGTCTTGCAGTGCTGCCTGTTGACGACCTTCGAAATCAGCCAGTCATCTCCGCCACAGCAAACATCCCCGTTGCATTGAAGCTTTTGCGTCGTCTAGCTCAACAAGCTCGACGAGATCCACCGAAGATGACCGATGCCTCATGCCGAGTGCGTCGGGAGAGCTGCATAGCAGCGCCGACGAGGTTGCATCGCAGCATCGGTGCCTCATGCCGCGTGCATCGGGAGAGTTGCATCACAACATCGGTGCCTCATGTCGCGTGCATCGGGAGAGCTGCATCGAAGCGCCGGCGAAGCTGCATCGCAGCTCCAGTGCCTCCTGTCGCGTGCGTTGGGAGAGTTGCATTGCAGCGCCGGCGAGGTTGCATCGCAGCTCCGGTGCCTCCTGTCGCGTGTGTCGGGAGCTGCAGAGCAGCGTCGACGAGGTTGCACCGCAGCCGGTCCACAGCGCGCCGCACCCCATCCGACTAACAACACTTGAATGCTTTATCGGAGCACTGGCTGCCACCGGCCAGTGTTGTTTCGCAACACCACAAAACGGCCATGGTGGATAGACGCACTGGCTTGGGACAGTGGCTTGGGGACAGCGCGTCCATGGCGAAGAGACGCATGGCCTTGGGGCAGTGGCTTGGGGACAACACGTCCATGGAGGAGACACGCACGGTTTGAGGCATTAGCTTGGGAACAACACGTCCATGGTGGGGAGGCGCGGAAATCAGCCGTGGAAGGAATCGAGAGGTTAGAGACGAGGGATCAACGGATGGCTCGCCTGTTTCGCTAAGAAGATAAGGTTGGGCAGGGCCCACAACGACGCGTGGCGTGCGGAGCGGGCGGTTTATGTGAGTTGTGTTATCAGCCGGTTGACACAAAGAGATTTCCCCAACAAATCCCTCCTCCTTTCTCCGTGGTGGCCCCCACTCCCGCTGCCGCCTTGGCCCGCGCCCCGTCGCCACCACCTCCACCTCCGCGCCTCTGCGGCCAACATCTCTTCCTGCCGCCCCGACAAGATGCCACCACCACCTCCCGCTGCTGCGGTCGCACACCACCACTCCCGGCATGGTCAACGCCTCCATTAGACTACCTTCCCGCCCCCAAGCGCCGCCTTGAAGTAGCCCCCACCCCTAACCGTCGATAAGCTCAGGGGCCTGCCTCTTCCCGCTGCCCCGGCAAGGGACGGAGCTCGTTGCTCCCGGAGGCTGCCCTCCTCCCCGGTGGTGAACCCGGCGGATATGGACCTCATTGTGATGCGGATCTGGATTCGGGGTCGTCTGTGTCGTCCCGGATGTACCCGATGGCCACCATGCACCGGCCGTCGTGCGCCTACATCCAGTCGGCTCCGTGCGTCCTGTTCCTGCCCAAGCTCGTCCTCCCGTGACTCCCTTTGTGGAGACTTTTTTGACCCAATCGCTGGTCCGGCGACTCCCAACTGGCGGGCTGACTCCGACGGTCCGACGAGCCCCTCTACTGGTGAGTCCTGATGTCGCTTATGCTGCTGTTGTTCCACGTCTCGTGGTTGTAGAGAGCCCATGTCAGGTCGAGCAAATTGCTCATGGCAGGTCGAACAAAAAATGCTTGTTTACAGAGAATAAAATCGATTGGCCCCTGTGCTTGGAGGTGAGCGTGTGCTTGGCCATGGCAGCGACAGCACGGCCGACGGCGGCGGCTAGAATGTGCACCTCATTTCCTTTTGATGATTAGCAACCAAACACCCAATCCAGAAGGTTGAAGCAGTGCAGCGTCTGATATCGTGTCCTGAACTTCTGCTTCTGCTTCAGTACTTGTAGTACTAGGTGCAGATATATATAGGCGTCAGGAAGGTTTTTGTTCACAGCCAAAGTTTTGCGAAGTTATATATGCATCGTCAGGTACATGTGGGCACGTTAAAGTACATGTAAGTGAAGATACTGTAAAAATGGAACAATTCTGCTTAGTTCGGCCTCCTGCCGTCCTGCGATGCAATTGCAACAAAATGCAGGACGAGTCGTGTGGCCAGACACCCGTTGTTTTGCGTCCTAACTCTCCTGCTTTCCTGTATTTAGACTTGCTTAGAGCCAGGAACATGTCACTGTTACAAATCTGAACTTTTGACCTTTTCGCTGGTTGCCATTGGTAACTGTTAAAAATTAGAGGTCATGTTGTTTGCTGCAGCTCGAATCTTTTCTTGCTGCTTGCCTGATTGGCCTTTCGGCACTGGTACCTTGTTTTGTTTTTGCTGCACAGGTGATAGATGGCAATGTAAAGCTCTGTATTGTCGTTTATATGTGTAATTCTTGTGTATATTGCCTGTGTGCCATCTTGCGATGTTTGGTGGTAACGGGAAATTGGAGCTGCAATGTTGCGCGTGCATCTGATTTATGAATGGTTGTTTTGATTTTGTATGTGTAGTAGATGTTCGCGCTGCTATTTTATTTGTTTCTACAGTGTGATACACCAGAACTGTTGATGTCTCATTTTCCAGGAGATGAGATGTTGTTTACTTCCCAGGAGACGCCAGCGCGTGTTGCTAGAAAAGCAGGCGCAAGTTGCTATAGATGCGAGAGCAAGTTGCGTGTTGTGTTTTTACCGACCAAAACATGCCCAACGTTTACTAGGTACTTGCCTGGAGATACTACTATCTTTTCTATAGTGGGCGTGTTTTGCGAGAGACGTTGGAGTGAGTTGCCAGAGACTTGTGTGCAAGTTGTGTATTGTGTTTTTTACTGACTAAAGCTTGTCGAACATTTACTAGAGATAGTTTTTCCTGTTGATGCTCAGTTTGGCCATCGCTGCGGGTAAGATCTCTACCAGTTGATGCTCAGTTACCTACCATTATCTTTAAGTTCCTATATTAATACGAAGTTGCCCACTGTCAATGCTCAGTTGTCTAGCATTGCTAATTTTTTAGTCGCCTGCTGTGATTGATTAGTTGCTTGCCATCGACAATTAGTTGCCTGCAATATTGTGAAAAGTTGATGTTGTTGCCAAGGTTTAGGTAATGCTAGGAAACTTTAGAGATGATGTTATGCAACTTTGGAGATGGTGTTGCACAACTTGACAGTCATGGCTACCAACTTAGGGGGGAGCATTAGGTTGATAGGTAATCATCATAGGAAACTTTACATGTGATATTAGGCAACTTGTCAATGCTGGTAGTCAACATAGAAGTGTTTGGATAGACATGTAGTCATGATAGGAAATCTACCACAAAGTTGCTTCTCGTAGCACCAAAGTTGCCCCTCCCCCCTCCCCCCCATGGTATTAAAGTTGCCTCTGAAAAAAATGTTGATCAAAAGCAACTTTAGAATGATGTTAGTCATTTGAGAGTCATGATAGCCATATTAGAAAATCATTAGTTTAATAATAGTCATAATAGGCAACTTGACAAAAAAATTGCTTCTTGTAGCACCAAAATTGTTCATCCTAGCATCAAAATCGCTCGAAAAAAAGTTTGCCGAAGGCAACTTAATATATAATGCTAGTCAACATGACTGTCATGATAGCTGGGAGCACCGAGTTGATAGGGTAGTCACTATATGCAACATTGCAACAAAATGCTTCATGTATCACCAAGTTGATAGGTAGTCATGGTAGGCAACTTACAGGTGATGCTAGACAACTTGTTAGTCATATTAGGCAACTCAAAAGAACATTGGGTTGTTAGGTGACCATGATACATAACCTAACCGAAAGTTGCTTACCTTATTTCAAAAGTTGCCTCCCCATCCGCCAAAGTTGTCTATCTGACAAGAAAAAAGTTCAGCAAAAGAAATTTCATAGGTGGCGCTAGGCAAGTTAACGTTCAGGATAGCCAACTTATAAAAGCATTGATTTGATATGTAGCCATCATAGGCAACCTAGCAACGAGGTGCGTTATGTAGTATCAAAGTTGATAGCTAGTCATGGTAGGCAACTTACATGTGATGGTAGGCAACTTGGTATTCATCGTATCCAACTCAAAAGAACATTTTGATGATAGATGACCATGATACACAACCTAAGCAAAAGTTGCTTACTGTAATACAAAAGTTGCCTCTCCGTGGCACAAAAGTTGCTTGAGAAGTTTTTCGTCAAAAGCAATTTCATAGGTGATGCGTAGCAACTTGAGATCATGATACCCAACTTTATAAGAGCATTGAGTTGATAGGTAGTCATGATAAGCAACAAGATGGGTCATGTAGCACCAACGTTGATAGGTTGTCATGGTAGGCAACTTACAAGTGATGCTAGGCAATTTGATAGTCATCGTAGCCAACTCAAAAGAACATTAGGATGATAGATGACTATGATACACAACCTAATTGAAAGTTGCCTACTGTAATACAAAAGTTGCCTCTCCGTGGCACCAAAGTTGCTTGTGAAAAAAAAGGATAGTCGAAAGCAAGTTCATAGTTGACACTAGGCAACTTATATGTCATGCTAGGCAATTTGATAGTCATTGTAGCCAAGTCAAAAGAATCATCGGGATGATAGGTGATCATGATACATAGCCTAACCGAAAGTTGCCTATTTGTGACAACAAAGTTGCTTGAGAAAAATAATCATCAAAAACAACTTCATAGGTGACCCTATGAAACTTGAGAATCATGATAGCCAAGTTTATAAGAGCATTGAGTTGATACGTAGTCATCATAGGCAACCTGGCAGCAAGTGCTTCATATAGCAGCAAAGTTGATAGGTAGTCATGGTAGACAACTTACACGTGATGCTAGGCATTTTGGCAGTCATCATAGCCAACTCAAAGGAACATCCGGATGATAGGTGACCATGATACACACCCTAACCAAAAGTTGCCTACAGTGGTACCAAAGTTGCCTTATAGTGAACCAAAGTTGCCCGAAGAACAAAAATTCGTCGAAACATATCAACATGGGATCTAGTTTTGAAGAGCACGTCGCCCAGAATCTAACGGTGAAAACGGATCTTAATTTTGATGCTCCATTCAAAAGTTATGACTTTTTTAAAAAATTGAACACACAAAATAATTACACATGAGACAAGATCTTTCTTTTTTTAGAGTGGATTTTTTATCATAGTATTAGGATAAAAAAATTTGAGTGTGTGCTCGGGAATGCTAGGGAGCACACGTGTGCTCCCTAGTCGCTTGTAATGAGCGGAAAAAGGCTAAATGTTCAAATTATAGTTGAAGGGAGATGAATCTTAACCCTGGATTGAAACGACGTACTACCGACCTGAAGAAAAAGATGAGGCCGGCGAGCAAGATCTCACGGTCGATGGACTTAACTAAGGTACTTTTAAGCACAACATTTATAAAGGAAATTGACCATATACTTTTTTATGAATGATGCAAGACTTATGTTTTTTTTTTTGCAAGAAACAACCTTAGCAGGCTGTTGTGTAGAGTTACTGTCAGCGGAAGATGGCGCAGCCAAGAGAAACTGGTTGTAGATTTCTTCTATGCCTGCTGCTCCATCCTGCAGCAATTATTTAGAACAACAAATAAGATGATTGTCAGATTAGATAAGGCACACTTCTTGCACAGAAAACAAATGTTCTGCATCAATATAGTAGATGACCAAAAAAAGAATAAAGAACAGAGCGGAAGAAGAGGAGAAGAAGAGCACGGCAAACCTCAGCCAGCGGCACCCATGGAGCAAAGGAGACCCATGCGTACGACGAGCGCACTTGGCGGCGAACACGATCTTGGCCGTGTTGCCCGCGCGCAGGTGCTCCAGGCCCGACTTGAGCAGCCAGACGAAGAGGTCGGCGACGCTGTCGTAGAGGTTGCGGAAGGCCTCGTCAGAGTCGTAGCGCGCGAGCACGGCCTGCGCGTGCTCCGCCTCCTTCTCGCGCCGGGCCTTGGCGGCCTCAGCCGCGGCGGCGGCAAGGCCGTCGACGCAACGCCGCTTGCCGCTCTTGCCCCCGGGGCCGCCGCGGCGACGTCGTCCTGGTCCTTGCGCTCATCGCGGGGGTCGTGGAGGAACCTGGTGAAGCCGGCGAGGTTGGTGGCGAGCGTGCGCGGGTGGATGGCGTGCATCCAGAGAGCGGTGACGTAGAAGCCCTTCCTCTCCCCTTTCCTCTCTCTCTCTCTCTCTCTCTCTCTCTCTCTCTCTCTCATCTTCTTCCTTATCTCTCCCTCTCATCCTCTCTCTCTCCCGCGGATCTAATCGAGCGCCGCCGCCGCCGTCACCCTTTGCCTGTAGGCCGCCGCGGCCGCCAGGGATGCTCGCCTCCATGCCCGCACCTCGGCCCACGGGATCCGAGATGAGGAGGTTTGGGCGCCATTGACGCGGGAGGATGCACGAGCATGGAGGCGGCTAGGTCGATGGAGACGCGCGAGGTGGGCTCGCGAGATATTTTTCCAGTCCATCTCCTCTCTCCAACCGCAGACGGAGGTGAGGCACGCAGGACGCGCACACGATGCATCAGTCAGCCAGGGGTCCACGCGAACATGCCCCAGCCAACCCGGCGCAGTCCGCACAACCAACCACCCTGACGCAGTCCGCGCAGCTGACGAGCGGGACCAGTAGCAGGACCGGCCCACCTGTCATCGCGATAGGAGAGACGCTGGTGCATAAGCCAGGTACACATGCACCGGCCGAGCCCTGCGCAGCTGCTCCCATAAACGCACGACGCGGGCGCAGCGGACGAGACAAGCAGCGTGCGTGCGAGCGGCGGCCCCAGACACGTTTGACCCGAGAGAAACACCGTGGGACGTGCAACCAGTTCAACCGAGGAGCGGGGCCAGCACCAACACAGGTCTACCCGTCATCGGTCCAGCGCAGCAGCACAGGTAACAGAAGAATACACAGTGCAGCGACGTGGGTTTCTCGCGCGCACGCGGCGCGGCACGAGCGGCTGCCTCGCGCCCGCGCACCGGAAAAAGCAACACCCAGCCGTTTCGATCCAAGTGGATACAGCGCCGGCCCACACGCCCTCATCGAACGGCTAGCGAAGGAAGCCATCGGGGAGCATTCTGGGAGCGAGTTGGCAAGGTTATGTTTTGTTTTAAATAACATACTACTCTGTTCCATAATATAAGACTAGTAGTTGGGGCGCGCCCGTGGCACGCCGTTTGAGGGGCATCTGGGCGGTGCCAGGTAGATGAACGCCCTTTTTACTTTCCTTTTTGGATCAGGATAGCAGCACATGTACATGCAATTCTTGATGGAACTTATTGTATATTGGAATATCACCTGAGGAAGAAAAATGCCACGCCCATAATGATATAGCATTGACAGGAGCATGTTGTTGTTTGGCTACATAAGATACATTAATAGAAATTACACGCACATCGGCCCCGGGAGCGGTGGCAGGCCCTTGATGCCTCCCTCTAACCGTGCGGCTGGCAAAGCTGCGGCAGTAGCTCGTCGTCGCGGACGGTGACGACCCTCCAGGACACGGTGTTGATGGAGGCACGAGGGAGATGTTGAGCTTGGTCTACAGGTCCCTTATGGTAGCCCTAGTCCTCTCGATGGCAAACTGCTCCGCACCGTTGGGGTCTTGGTTCCTCAACTTCCTTGCCTGCAAATGAGTTCCACTTCATATCTTTGGCATGACTGGTTCTGAGCTTCTAATGATTATATGAATTCTGAGAGAAGCGAGTGTGCTCGTTCAAACACACACTGACTTCCGGCTCACCTTGTGGCTTTGAAAGAGCTGGAATGGCTCCGGTGAAGGTTTACAGACGCCAACTTGCTCGTGAAGATAGATACCCTGCTTCCGGTTCTTCTTTTCTGCAAGGACTTTTCCTCAGCAAACATTTGTAACACTGGTTATATTTATTCCAGTTCTTAAAAAAGCATGGGACAAATAGGAGAAAATAGAGGAATATCAAGGTAAGATCCTAGGAAAGGATGCCTCAAATTAATTGAATGCCCACTGAAATGAGTCAGACATATAATGCAATATGAAATAACATTCTTCAAATTGTGCAAAGGAACTACCTTTGTTGTCCCATTGGCTCGATAGACATCAAAGTGGTGTCAACTGATTCAGTCTCCGTCTATCTACAACGTTATTATATCCTGCAAGAAAAAGCAAAACTAATTATACCACCATAAGTTTTATACAAACCACACCAGACAGATATTAGATTAAAACGGACAAGAAAGCATCAACGAAGTTTAAAGATTCCACCCTCTAGATTAACATTGGACTGTAGACTTGACAGCGAAATCAGTTATTTGCAGCTTCTTTCCACAAAGTTTGCAAAAGTTACACAAAATAACCATTTTTTTAACATTGCCACTTTTTTAGAAGAACTCAAATAACCTTGTTGTTCAAATATGAGAAAAGTTATAGCTTAATGATTAACCAAAGTTCATTTTCTTGAAAAGTGTATCAAACTTTTACGAGAAGGCATGTGCGCATTTATCTTGTCTCGGCACATTCGGCTGCCATGTTTCGTCATTAGTCTAACTCATGTACATCAATATGGGCATATGCTATAACATTATGATCTAATAGTAGAACATCGATCAAACATACGATACTATATCATTAGAGTTCAGAACCATCATAGGCATTGGTACATCTAACGAGGATATGTACGACTCGCCCTGGAGCATGGATGGGTACAATGCATTGTAGTTAATCCAAAAGCGAATACAAGCTAACATGAAGTGCTTTCAGTTTGGCTGGAAAAGGGGGCCTAATGAGGCCATGACTTGGCTTTGTCAGAAGCCTGTTGTACGCAATCGCAAGAAACGGCCAGCAGCAGTGCAATCCGGATACTCACGCCTGCAGTGATTTTGTAGCATTGCCACTAGACCTCTTATGCTTATATTCACATAAATCCAAGTGAAGCTGCATCAAGAAATATATTTCAGACATGAGAAGCAACAACAGTAGCTTAAGAAAAAAACATGTTACATATAGTAATATTTCCTTACAGCCTAATGGTACGAACAAATCAAAGTTGTTGGATTTGGCAGTGTAGCTAGAAGACAGAAAATGCAAGTTGACTATGATGTCACTGCTAAAGAAGCATAAATAGCATCTATGTCTAGTGAAAAAACAGAACAAAAGGAATTATCTTCATGTTAATCCATCTATATCTAGCATAATGATTTTGTAATATGATAGTACAATAGTATAATAAATGATCTTGTATGGCTACCGCATGAAGTATGGTGTAAAAAAAGAAAATTGAGTGAAATAAGTCATGTCGACATATAGTATAAGAAATCAATAAAAAAAGGATCATACATCATGTACACCAAACCGGGTTGATCTCCCTTCTTAGACATGATAATCACTTCCAAATTAAAGACCAATGCTTGCCTATAATTCTAGTTGGAAAGTAACCTCACTTCTAAGAAATCTGAAGGTTCTAATTTCCAAATAATCCACTCCTTGAATGTTCTCTCATGATTCTTGAAAGAAACCTTTGAGCTGGACAAGAATAGTAGCAAAAGTAAGTAAACATGAAAGAACAGATCAACTCAAGGTGCAGATGGGAAAGCAAGATCATTCAGTAAAACTGAAATATTTATCAATCAAATGCTAATAGCCATATGACACAACCAGCAAGGTAAGAAATCGATCGGATCATGGAGGAGCTCACCCAGAGTTTAGGCCCGTCAATCTGGCCGTATGGACCCTAGATGTAGAGAGAAAGCATGCATGTTCTTCTTGCTCCCACAGAACCACAGCAGAGTAGGGGTTGGAGATCAACTAATAAACATGGAGAGATCCATATATGCCAATCAACTAATAAAACACCACCGGAGCAGCATATGCATACTTGGAATATGAACATAAATAAAAGCAACTGCTAATGACAAAAAGAAATGACTTGATATTCAAACATTACGCCATCGATAGGTAGAATACAGAAAGTGTATCTGTAACAGTAGATGTTCCCATTGACAAAATGAATCGTGTTCCCATCTTCAATTTTCCTGCAATTTCACCTATTTTTCATGCCTCATTAATTATCTAGGGAATGAGACTATGATGAACAGGCGAGCACTAAAGTTTAATGCTAACAGCCTTCCACAAAGCAGATAACACCAGTAGCCAGCTTTTCAAGATCAATTAGCATAGCTTGTCTGTCAGAAATAAATTGCATTACGAAAGCATTCCAAGTCTACCTGGCTGTCAGAAATAAATTGCAGCAAATAACACCAGTAGCCAGCTTTTTAAGATCAATTAGCATAATTTGAAGAAAGCTTAGCATGCATATTGTATTCATCACTCTGTTAGAGCAAATTTTGGTTGGTTGCGGCAACAGCAGGTTGATGAATTTCATGTACTATCAGTACTGTGCAGGTGCATCCAAATCTGTATGATAGCAGAAGAATAATATAAGCAAGAAGACAGAGTACTTCCATGCAAAGAACCATAAAGAAAGGTATAAAATAGGAGTTTAAAGAGAATCTTTGATGAAAAACCTCACAAAAAGTGACCAGAAACTAAATCTTAGAACAGAGACAGATCTTGTGTCAGCATAATAAAAATGAAACGGCTATTTGACTAATTGAACGACCAATTAGATAGAGCAAAACCTAATGTGGATAATAGCTAGTCATCTGAACGGATTAGAAGGCATGAGGGAAATTACATATGAAGCGAAGCAGTACATCTAATTATCAAGATTTTAATCCCCAAATAAACATTATAAAAGAACATGAGAATATCTCGTGGTCGCCTTCAATTGACAATCTGAGAACAAGATTTGCAAGAACATTTAGTATGCAGACATGTTTTTCTTTTATCAATTTCCTTGGGAGTTGGGTAAAGTAACTCTTGTTATATATAAGTGAACATAATTACGTATAGTCCAATCAGTAACTAACAAGATATGCAAGTGAAGTGTCCAGGCTGTGCAAACTTACAGCCTGAGATGGTTTCTCACGTAGAAAATGCAACAAAAGCGACCTTTGCAAACACCAAATCATTTTGGCACCGCTGATTATTGCGTGCGTCGGGAGGGTTGAGGTGTGGCTGTTGCAACGGCGTACGCACGTCAATGCTTGCCATCGTCCAGGACCCATAGCAAACAGAAGAATCTTGCGCATCAGGACCCGCAATCCAGGAAATGGGAATAGAAAACTGAGATGCAGTTGAGTTTGCCGACGAAGATAAAAGATTAGAAATGTCGTCAATAGAAGC